CACAGCGCCACTTCCGGCTTTTTTTTCTTTTTGCTTATGTGGTGCTGAGGAATCGAACCCAGGGCCTCAGGCATGCAAGGCAAGCACTCTACCACTGAGCTACCTTCCCAACCCCGAGTGGCAGGTTTTGAAGGTAAAGTAGGTTTCAAAATATGGAGAAAAAGTTGAAGCCAGTTTAGAGTTCCAGCAAAGCCAGAAACTGGTGTGATTTTTTTTTTTGGGTCTGGTCATGGGTCTTGAACTCTGGGCCTGGGCGCTGTCCCTCAGCTCTTCAGCTCAAGGCTAGCACTCTACCACTTGAGCCACAGCGCTACTTCCGGCTTTTTACTTTTTGCTTATGTGGTGCTGAGGAATCAAACCCAGGGCCTCTGGCATGCAAGGCAAGTGCTCTACCACTGAGCCACCTTCCCAGCCCCTGGTGTGATGTTTAAAAAGACTACTTTTACTTTGCTGAATGGGCTTAGTAGTAAATTTGATTGTTAGGATGATATCAGATTATATAGAGCACTGAATTTGCAAATTTTTTCTTTGTGCTGGCTGGTATAGGGATTTAAACACAGGGCTTTACATTATTTCTTGGCTTTTTTTACTCAAGATGCTCTACCACTCGAGCCACACCTCCAATCCTAGGACACTGAATGTCAGGTAGAAAAGTTGACCTGATAATATTGAGGTGTCAGACATCTGAACAGGAAAGTAATGATAGTAAAAAATGACACTTTTTAAAAGATTGTTTATGATATTAATGTGAAAGATGCTTTTGATAAGCTACAGACCAGCTAGGTGGCTTTGTGGCCATTCATTGTGAGCTACTGAGAGAATAAATTATGGTGGAGGTAGTAGGAACACATAAGACAACAGGTAGGATATAGGAATGAAAGAGAAGGAAGAATCAAAGGTGACTTCATCTATGCTTCAGGTGTATATTACCAATGTTATAAAGATTGCCTAGGAATCTAGCCTGTTTTGAGGATGTTTGAAGGTTGTATAACCCTCTTTTTGATACGTTGAAGATAGGCATGTTATATTCATTTTAAAATAAGTTATATAGTATCAGTATTTATCTCTTTAAAATTATTTTAATTATCAGTAGAGACATGTGCATATTGTTAGAAGCTAACCTAACTTATATTTTTATAGCCTCCAAATAAAAAGAAAAAAGAGAAGGAACGTTGTACTGCCCTTCAAGATAAGCTTCTTGAAGAAGAAAAGAAACAAATGGAACATGTGCAGAGAGTTTTACAGAGACTGAAATTGGAAAAGGACAATTGGCTTTTAGCAAGTAAGTTAATCACATTGTTACATATTTATTTATTTATTTGGTGCAGGCCCTGGGGCTTGAACTCAGGGCCTGGGTGCTGACCCTGAGCTTCTTTTGTTCAAAGTTAGAGCTCTACCACCTGTTTTGGTCGTTTAGTGGTAAGAGTCTCATACTTTCCTACCTGGGCTGGCTTTGAACCTCAATTCCCAGATCTCAGCCTCCTGAGTAGCTAAGATTATACATATGAGCCACATATGCCTGATGAAACTGTTATATTCTTCTGTTATTAGATTGCAAAAATAAACCTTTATAACTTTGAAGGTGTTGAATTCTCTTAGGTTTGTATTTCAGTTCTGTTCACTATGCAGTTCTTTTTTTATTGGTTTAACATTTATATAGAATCCTGTTCTTTGTTATTTATTAATACAGAATCAACTTCACATGTTTACTGAAGTAACTGATGATTTGGTTTTTTGGTGAAATTAACTTCTTTCTATAATAGTGGCAGCTTATCATTCAACTTTTCTGTATAAAATCATATTCTGGGGGAAATTGTAGATAGGAAATACAGTTTTATCCCAAGCATGACCTTTTGGTTACAAACTACAAATAGCTTGTGGTTTTATAGCATTCTTACACTACAGTTAGTATGTTGTTATGTTTAGTGGCCTTGAGGCCTTGAGGAAGAAGTTTTACCACTTAATATATTCTTCCTTTATTTTTAGAATCTACCAAAAATGAGACCATCACAAAATTTCTACAGCTGTGTATATTTCCTCGATGTATTTTTTCAGCAATTGATGCTGTTTACTGTGCTCGTTTTGTTGAATTGGTACATGAACAGAAAACTCCAAATTTTTCCACACTTCTTTGCTATGATCGAGTAAGTTCTTTTTATTGCAACCTTTCACAAAAAGTCTCACACAAAGAAGACTGAATATTATAATTAAAGAGGTATTGTGTGGGTGGTTTAAGAGCCAAATGCCTGAAACTAGAATCTTAGCTTTGCTACTCTTTAGCTATATTGGTCTTTGGCAAGTTATTTAACCTCGCTGTGCCTCAGTTTTCTTATCTGCAAAATGAGACCTGCTTTGCTTTGTTAGATTGTTGGGAGGATTAACTGAATCACTATATAGTAAAGGATATTTGAATAGTGTCTGATAATGTAACAGGCACTAAAGGTTTAGCTATCAACTCAGCATTTGAGTTTACCTGTTGTGTCATCATAGCTAGGACCTTATTTATAACCATTAGTCTTTAAAATGAGATGAAACACTATGCCTCCCCTCTCTTCCTCCTTGCAAAAAAACCCCCCAAAACACAACCAAAACTTGACACCTTCACACATACATAAAAACAGGAAAGCTGGGCTGGGAAGGTGGCTCAGTGGTAGAGTGCTTGCCTTGCATGCCTGAGGCCCTGGGTTCGATTCCTCAGCACCACATAAGCAAAAAGAAA